TGAGTTCACACCTGGCTAAAGACCACAACTTCATATCTGTAGTGAACAGAGTTGGGGCTCAACAAAGATTGGTGGGTTGAATCAGAGGCTCAACAAAGTTTGGTGGGTTGAACCACAATGCACATAATGTCAATATTTGGCTAGTTTGAGGTTAACAGTCCCTACAGATTTATTCCCTTGTGAGGTATGAGGTCATTTTTAGTTAGACTCAGATTTTAGAGACTTGGGAAAAGAAACTGATGTCATGATTCAATGAGTTTCCTGAGAAAACACATAGAATTTTTTGGCCACATATTCTCAGTTTTTTGGTTCATTTGACATATCTCTATGCTAAATTTGAAAGCAAATGTCAAGCATAATTATTATATATGTAGAAATTCACCTCCCAGGGATCTACATTCCTCATCTGGAAAATGAGAGGGTAAACCAGATGCTCCCTAAAGGGCTTTCCAGTACTTGTGCTCTCTGGTTTATGTATTTCAGACATTATATATCACTTTTTGTTTATTATAAACTGAAAAGAGTGAAAAAGGATGATATCCAGCCCCCAGTTTCCCAACCATGTTATAGCTGATCTACAAATTAGATGTCTAAAGGATTATGTCACTTTGGACTAAATAAAAAGAATAAGTTAGCACTCTGAGAAGATGCTTGGATTGTGGCCTTCTAGATAAATCCCATGCCTAGATATTTGCAACGACTTCCCTATGTCACAGACAAAAGGATTATTCCATGCCTTTTGAGCATACATATGAGAGGGAATTAAAATAAGGTACTAAACCCAAACCTACTATAGTATTCAAGTACTTTGTGTTTTCACCCAGAATATATGTGTCATTCTTTGGTTCTTTCTGTGTTTTCTTTTTCCTTTTTTTTTTTTTTTAAACAAGTAGTGTATAAATAACAATGACTTGGGTCTCTTTTATTTTTAAAGTCATGCAATATTGCAAATAAACCCTCCAATGCTCATGTATGTGTGAGGTGATACTTAGTGACAGAACCATGTAGTGGCTAAGAGCAGAAGTTTCCTATCTCTGTTTTGCCACTCAATTAGCTGTACAACCTTGAGCAAGTTACTTAACCTCTCTGACTCCTCATCTATGAAATGGGGATTTGAAGGATTCTTTCCTCCCTCCCTCCTCTCTTTCCCTCCCTCCCTCTTTCTTTCCCTCCCCTCTCTCCTTCAACATATACATTTTTGAGTACCTACAATGTGTGATTCAAGCCTCTGGGAATAAATACAGCAATGAACAAGGACAAATTTCCTTTTCTCATGTATGTAAGAGTTCAGTTGAGTGAAACAGATAATAAATAAATATGGATGCCAGGTGGCAAGTGCAATGAGCAAAGCAGTGTAAGGGATATACATGAAGGATAGAGGGAAGCTATTTAGAAGGGGTAGTCAAGGAAGGCTCTCCTGAGAAAGTGACATCTGAGCTGAAATATGAACTAAGTGGAGAGAAGAAGATTCCAGGTGGGGGGAAGAACAGATGTGACAACCCTAAGGAAGGTATGCTTTCAGTGAATGTTTGAGGAAGAGTAAGAAGATCAAGGTGGCTGGAACACGTAAAGCCTTTAGATTTTACTCTAAATGCGTTGGGAAGCCATGGAGGGGGTGTTGTATTGAGCAGAAAAGAAATAACGTGATCTGGTCCATGTGGAAAGTGACCAACTTTCCAGATGTTTTAACATGTGGTTTGACTATGTGTCTAGAGATAGACTTCTCAAGCATGTGTTAAGATTGACATGAGCTTATGAGGCAGTGCATATGAATTGCTTAGAGTCTGGCAGTAGATTGCACTTAAGAAGTAGCTCTCATTATTATGCTATTAGTCAAGTTGATAGACCATCATCAAGGTTCTGCACTGATGATGATAGGGCATCTGTCTGAGGGCCAAGGAAACAGGGAGAAAAAGCCATCATTTCTTGAGTACTTACTCTATGCTAGGCCTGTACATATTTAGCTCAAATACAGTATAGAGTAAAGTAGCATGCTATGAGGAAGGGAAAAGAATGGCATCTGACCTTAAAATAGCTCCTCTACCTTGTATCAGTCTTGTCTGGTGCTCAGAACTAGTCATAACTCTGGGCTGAGGTGACTTTTAAAGTGTACATGTTAACCTGGATTGGTAACATCTGGTCCTATTCACCCCCTTTACCTTAATGTGATTTCATGGATAGATGAACTAGCTATCCACCCCAATGGCTCCGGAGTCTGAATGCCTGGGATCAAAGTCCAGCTCAACCACTTACAAGCTGTGTGACTTTGGGCAAGGCACTTAACCTATTTGTGCCTCAGGTTTCCCATCTCAGGGATGATAGTGATAATTATCTCTTAGCGTTTACATGAGCTAAAGAGAGGTACTACATGCAAAAATGCTTTATCCGATATAACTGTATTGTTTGCGCAATTAAATTAATAAATGAACCAATCAGAAGAGCTTTGAGGCGTGGAACACAGGACTGGTAAGTTTTCAGGGGAAAGCAAAGGGCCAAAAATGTTATGGTGCTGCCATAAGAAGTTCTACAGGATGAACATTTCCAGGAGTGGGAACACCTGGTAAAAAGATGCTAAAACATTTTTTAAAATCTGACTTAAGTCTTTGCAAGTTCTCACTGTGGAGACAGAAGATTCAAGTGATCCAGCAAGAAGTTTTGATCAATATGCTGCAGGGTGATGGATGATAGGGAGCCAAACAATGAGATGGAGGAATTTAAACAAAGCAGTAAGAAAACCAGATAAATGTGGGAAGGGAATTAGAAAATTCATAGAGTAAGAGATGCAACTAGAAAACAAATTAGGTGAGGAAAATATTTGCCCATCAAGTTAGCAAGAATTAAAAAAATATATAATTTCCTTTGCCATTAAGGCAATAAAAAGGGGAGGAGCTTTCTCATATACTGCTGAAAGGAATATAAATCAATAAAACCATTTGAGAAATCAATGTGGTGACACAGATCAAGTACCTCTAAAATGGTTATTCTCTTTGATTTGATAATCCTATTTCTAGATTGTTACATACCCATTTGTAGAGTCTTCTAAGTTTTATTGATTTATTTGAAAAAAAATAATTTTGGGTACACCTGGGTGGCTGGGTTGGTTAAGCATCTGCTTTCTCCTTGGGTCATGATGCCAGGGTCCTGGGATCGAGCCCCGCATTGGGCTCCCTGCTCAGCTGGGAGCCTGCTTCTCCCTCTGCCTGCTGTTCCTCCTGCTTGTATGCTCTCTCTCTCTCTCCCTCTCTCTCTGACAAATAGATTAATGAAATCTTAAAAAAAAAAAAGAAAAAAGATTTTAGATGTAGAGTCTTCATAGAATTTATTATAGCAGACACAAATTAGAAAGATTAAAATATCTTCAAATAAATGTCATATTTTGCAACCATTAAAAAGGACACTTATATACACATGAAAAAGAATGATGTTGGACTCTTTCCTCACACCATACACAAAAATTAACTCAAAATGGATCATAGGCCAAAATGGTTAAGAGCTAAAACTATAAACCTCTTAGAAGAAAATATAGGAGTAACTGTGACCTTGGTTTAGGCAAAGCCTTCTTAGATATGACATCAAAAGCACAGACATCAAAAGAAAAAAATAGACAAACTGGACTTTATCGATATTAAAACTTTTGTGCTTCAAAGAACACTGTCAAAACAGTGAAAACATAATCCAAAATAATGGGAGAAAATATTTGCAAACCATTTATCTGATTAGGGACTTGTATCCTTCTAGAATATATATTAAAAATTACAACTCCAAAATAAAAAAACAAATAACCTAATTAAAACATGGGCAAAGGCTCTGAATGGACATTTCACCAAAGCACATATAAGAATGGCCAATAAGCATATGAAACATGCTTAACATCATTAGCCACTGGAGAAATGCAAATCCAAACCATGCTAGGATGGCTAAACCAAAAAAGACAGTTAATAACAAATGCTGACAAAAACATGGAGAAATTAGAACCGTCATAATGCTGCTGGTGGGAATGAAAAATGGAGCGGCCACTTTGGAAGAAGTATGGCAGTTCCACAAAAAGGTTCCCATGTGACCCAGCAATTCCATATAGAATTCCACTCAGAAATAGAAACATATACTTGTACACAAATGTTTAAAGCGGCATTATGCATAGTAGTTAAAAAGTGGAACCAGCACAAATGTCCATCAACTGACAAAGTGATAAATAAAATGCAGTGTATCTATATAATAGAATATTATTTGGTAATAAAGAAGAATATAGTATTAATATATGCCTTAACATGGATGAGACTTGAAAAAATTATGCTAAATGAAAAAAGTCAGTCACAAAAGACCTTTATTGTATAATTCCATTTATGTGAAATGTCTGGAATTGGCAAATCTATAGAGATGAGAGAGTAAATTAGTGGTTGGGTAGGGGTTGGGAATGGGGAGTGACCGCTAATGGGCATAAGCTTTCTTTCTGGGGTAACGAAAATATTCTAAAATTTATTGTGGTAATGGTTGTACCACTCTGTGTACACCAAAACCCATTAAATTACATACTTTAAATGGGCAAATTACATGGCATATGAATTGTATCTTTATAAAATTATTAAAAATACATTTGTGTAAAGTATACACTAAGAGAAGAAATATTCATGGTATTTGTGAATGAGTTGGAATCGTGCATTGTGAATTATGATTACAATTATTGGGAAAGAAGATTAGAAGCTCTGACAAATTCTGGCAAGAGATCCACTGAAGTGTTAAAGAAATCTGCTTTGGATGGTGAATTATGATTGATGAGCAGGCCTTTTATAAAAGGGAAACCTTTTTTTTTTTTTTAATAAAAGCAATGAGAGGCCTTATTTCCCAAACAGTCCTTGGGTATAATCCTTCTTCATCTTTACTCTCTGCTCAACAGAAAGCAACCCAAGAGAGTTTCATTCCATAGAAAACAAAGTCTGACTGAGATCAAAAGTGACGTTTTCCATGCTCCCTCCTACCTCCTGTTCTTCTACCCCACAGGCCCATAAAAGAAAATGGTTCAAAAAGTCCTGAGCAAGTGAAACCAGAAATGTGCCGTGCTTGTATCTGGCAGCCTCATGCCCCGAAGGTGAAGAGCAGACAACTGCTGTCCACGGCTTCTCACAGTGAAAGTAGAATGAGTGGGGCATGTGTTCCAGCTGGGAGCATGCGTTAGGGCCCTGGCCAGGTACAAGGAGAAGTCTTATTTTTTCCTTGAGTGCCCACCATAGGCTTCTCTCTCCTGAGGAAACCAGCTTTTCCTTCTTACCTCCCAAGAGGAGGAGCCAATCCTGGCTCACATCCCTGGACAGAGTTACACTTCCCAGCTGGCCTCTCTCCGGGGCAGCCAGTTGTCCATCTCTATCTTGGAGGAACAGCTTTGACAAAGTCCTTGGCCCTGTTTGGAAATCCCCTTCCTCTTGTTCTCCCAAACAAAATTAATTTGAAACGGTTGGGTTAATCTGACATTCTTCCTCTGAGGAACATATGTTCATATGAAGGTGGGGTGGTGGGTGGTGGGGTCTCCTGGAGACAGTCCCCGGGCTCTCTACTTGGAGGCCATATACCTACCTCCCCAACACTGGCAATCTGCATTGCATTCAGGGGCATGCACCTGGGTTGGAGAGAGGTCTGGGGGGCCAGTTCTCTGAGGAATGGTTGAAAGACCTGGGGCTGCTTAGCTTGGAAAAGAGAAAACTCCGGGAGATCCTGAGATGGTCTCAATGAGCTGCTAGCATGAGAAAAGTTTATTTTGGAATAATATCTCAGAGAAAAATTGGAACCCGTGTGGAGAAATTGCAAGGAGGCAAATTGCCTTTAATATAAAAAGACCTTTTAGTAACAAGAATTTTCCAACACGCTATAGGCTCCATAGCTGAGGAGGTGATTTTCATCAGAGGAAGTCCGTGTAGCAGCTTTCTTTCAAGCATCATCAACTTGAGAGTGCAAAACTTTTTTCCAATAATTATGTGGTGTTTATTATGTGCCAGGCACTATTCTGAGGACTTTACATATATAATTCCCAGAATACTTATAATATCCTTCTAGAATAAGTGTATTTTTATCTCCAATTTATAGATGAGGAAAAATAAGACTCAGAGAGAGGTTCAGTAACTTGCCCAGGCCCATACTGTAGTCTGGGTCAAACATCCATGCTCTTAACTCTTATATTGAGGTTACATTTATATTAATACCCCCAAGATATGACCGTAGGCTCCTGCATGTCAAATATAGGATTTAGGCTCTCTCATCCAGAGGTGCCCAGATTATTTCCAGGAGTCCCCAGAGAGTGTCTGTCTATCTATACCTACAACCTAGTGGATAAGGTGCATGCACCTGTCATGCACCATGGCTTCTCTCTTGGTGATGTCTCAGCTCTCAGTGCTATTCACACAGCCTGGCCAATTATACTAATTGTGAGACCACTAATGTGTGTGCCAAGGGGGCTTCCTCACAATGTGCCCCAGTCCATAGGGCTCAAGGCCTATGGTTTTCTGGGTTCTGAGAGACTTCTGTGCCTCAGTTTGTCATCTGAGTCCCCAAGAAACAATACTTTTAGCTAGAGTCCTCTGTCTCACAATAAAATGTCCCTCACAGCTACTGGCCCTCATCTCCTTGGGTATAGACTTTCAGAGACAGTCCACCAGATGGAATTGGGCCCTACAACTCACGTCCCTCTCTGTCACCTTTGCTTCTTTCTCAACTGTCTCATGTCACCTGGACAGCTGCAATAAATAAAACTCCCTTTTCCCCAGCCACAAAACACAGAGCCTCCATGCACCAGGTGAAGAGAACTCCGAGGAGATGTCACCTCGCTTCTCCCCAGCCCTTACTCAGACAGAAAGGACCTGTGAGGCCTGAAAGCAGAAGCAAGAAGACTATTCTCAGGGGTGTAGGATGAAGTTGGAGGCTGGAAAGAATGGTAAGATCTTATCAATTCTAAAATTTTAGAATCCTAAGCCCCAACTAGTTTAAGAGAAATGGAGTTGCTTCAGCTTGTTTCCTTCAATAGCCCCCACTGGGTTTGCTTCGGAAACAGTAAGCCGTGTTTCTAGGTAAAGTTTTTAGCAGTTTTTGGATTCTACTTCATTTATGGAAAGGGAAGGTACAGAGTGAAGGAACGGGCTGTCTAGCGTAGCTCACCTTTAGGCAAGAGAGGAAGCTGGGATGTGGAAGGCTGGGGTCCATTTACTGAGAGGGAGCAATTAATGGCTCTGTCTAATAAGACATTTCCTTGAGGGAGAACTTCAGAGATGAGCTTCCTGTGATTGTACCCAGTCTCTCTCATGTTCTTCAGGAGAGTCAACATATGTCTCCATATTATCCAAGAGGTCTTCTCCTTGTCTTTTATGGCCAATGTGAGGGATGTGGAACATTTAGATTCTTTGAAGTTTCCATGAGAATAGTCAGCTGACAGAGGGGAGAGAAGATAGGGACAAGAGGAGGGTCCATCTCGCTGTGGATAGGAAGAAAGGGTGTGGTAGCCAGCCTCAAAATGGCCTCCAATAATCCTTGCCTCCTGGTGTTCATGTCTTCCATCGTGTCTCTCCCTGCATTAAATCCACGTTTGTCTGCATGACCAATAAAATATGGCAAAAGTGACAGTGTGTGACTTTCTAGGCTAAGTCATGGCTTCCACCTTGGTCTCTGGGATCGTTTGCTCTGGGGGAAGGCAGCTGCCACGTTGTGAAGAACACTGAAGCAGCCATGTGGAGGAGCCTATATGGGGAGGAACTGAGGCCTCCTGCCAAAGCCAGCACCCACTTGTCAGCCAAGTGAGTGGACCACCCTGAAAGCAGATTCTCTAGTCCCAGTAGAACTGTCAGATAACTACAGCCCCAGTTGATATCTTGACTACAACCTCATAAGAGATCCTGAGCCAGAACTGCCCAAACTCCTCCTTAGGTAAGAAGAAATATAGAAATATAGAAACTGTGATAGATATTGATGATTTAAGCCACTAAGTTTTGAGCTAATTTATAACACAGCAATTGATAACCCACGCAAAGGGCAAGTCTGATTATGTGAAGAGCCCTCTAGCATAAGCCTTGTGGGTTGGTCACCTTTATGCACCATATCCTTGGGAGGCCAGAGGGTGGTTTCCTTGTTCTGTAGTAGGGGTTGGCAAACTAGGGCCCATGGGTCAAATCCAGCCCTCCATAGGCCAAATCTGCCCACATCTCTTGTTTAACATATTGCCTATGGCTGGTTTCTTGCTACAATGACAGAATTGAATAGTTGTGATACACTGGATGGCCCACAAAGCTGAAAATATTTACTATCTGGCTCTTTTTTAAAAAAGATTTTTTATTTATTCATTTGAGGGAGAGAGTTCGAGTGAGAGCACGGGCAGAGGGGAGGGTCACAGGGAGAGGGAGAAGCAGAGTCCCCACTGAACAGGGAGCCCAAGCAGGTCCTGATCCCAGGACCCCGATATCATGACCTGGGCTGAAGGCAGATGTTTAACTGACTGAGCCACCCAGGGGCCCCTACTATTTAGCCCTTTATAGAAAAAACTTGCCGACTCCTGTCCTATAGGAACAATGTGATGGTGAACTGTCTTTCTCACACACATACAGATACACACACCCTCTCCACACAAGAGCCTGAAGTGTGAGATGCTATCTCATCTGCCCAGTGAGCCCTCTCTAATTTCCTCATCTGAATAGCTCCTACTCATCCTTCAAAACTCGGTTCAGATGCACCTCCTTGAATCCAAACTTTTACTTGTGAAATTCCTCTCCTTCTTTGGGGTTGGCTTATATATCACCTCCTTCCCTCAATCCCCCAAGCTAAACAAATTCTAGCAGCAGGGTTTCCATACCTCTTTTAGAACTCTAACCAATCACATGATGGGGATTTGTTTAGTGTCTTTCTCCCCCACTGGCCTATAAGCTCTTCAAGGGCAAGTACTGTGTATTACTCATTTTATAACCTCAGAGAAATATTCCTTTACTTATATGTTCATCACAAATACTTATCAGATGTTTATTATTTGTCAGATAATTTGCTTACACAGAGAAAAAGACCAAGTCCTTGCCTTCATGTTGCTCTAGAATGGAAGTGGAAAAGCAAACTGGCTTTAGGAGATGAGGCGGTAGAGGTCTGTGCAAACTTCATTGTGAGCATATTTGCTGTAGCCATATAAACAGCTGCAAAATGAAGTTGGTTTTCAACACTTTCATAGCATTTACCATTTGTCAGACACTGTACTAAGCACTTACATACGTTACAATTTATTTAATCTTTATACAACATGAGGCAGGTACTACAATTATTTCTATTCTACAGGATATAGAGACCAAGAGAGGTCAAGTAATTTACCCAGGGTCACAGAGCTAAAAATGTCAAATGAATTTTGGAGCAATTATTTAGTTGAATAATCAATTCTAAGTCTCAGAAACAGCACAAGTGTAAGAAATTGGGATAATGCTGTTCTTTTCTCTTTGAACACTAAGTGGATGGTTTCTGTCAAGCTGGAAATTCCAGCTCCGGAGGCTTTCTGATGGCTTACACTATGCTTGGCATTTTATTTCTAGGAATTGCCTTCTGGGAGATACTGCTGTTTTAATGATTGTGAAAGCCTGGTTTCCTCATTGAATTGCACCATTTGCCACTTTTAAGTCATCCCTAGTTATCAGTTTTATTTTCCTAGGGCTCTGTGGGGGAAGAACACAGTCAACAACCCCCAGTGATCTCCTTTCCTTGGTAAAGTCAATAGGACTATGGATTGTCTACAGTTGGGATGTGAGATGGGGTCCTGGTGCCTTTTCTCTGCCATCACTTGTCTCCAGCAGTGATCTAGTTGTGGATTAATTGGTTCAACCCTTGGGTGTCATTCAATGGATTGGTTTAAAGAGATTTTGGGTACAGTGGCTAATGACGCTGGTTCTAGCTTAAAGATGTTTGCCTCCTGTAGCATGAATCACTTAATTGCATTCTATTTTCCTTTCTAGGAATGAGGACTCTAAAGCTCTAAAGCTGGTCCGCTTTACAAATACGTAAGTAGGTATTCTGAGCCATTGTCCACTCTGTTCAGGTCACTCATTTGTGCTTGGCTCAGCCTTCCTGCACAAAGATGTGGGTACTTTGTGGCAAAGAATGAAGGTGGGGGAGTGGGAGAAATCCCACTGAGGACAGTAATGGGTGCTGAAAACAGGTATGTCCCTTGCTCAAGAACCTTTGCTCAGCAATTCCCTGCAAAGGGAAAGGTGCAGAGTGAAGTGATGAGGATTAGTGTCAAAGTAGGGGGGAGAGGGAAAGGCCAGGATGTGCACTCATGGTTTTCAGTGTATTCACCCTCATTCAACAAGTCCTGATGGAATCAGTTATGTGCCAGACCTTGTTTACAATCAGGGCCCGGAGTTTACAATGGCAAATAAGACAGATACAGTTCTTGCCCTTCTGCAGCAGTGGGGAAGATCATAAAGAAGTTAACAGTTAAATTCAATAATGGCAAATTATGGTAAGTGAGGGTAGGAATAAAGAGTGGACTGTTACAGAGAATAATCAAGAGTAGAGGATGAGACAGGACTATTTATTTTGAATGGAATAATCAGAGGAGACCGCTCTGAGGATGTGAAGGATTGCACTTAAAGGATAATGAACATGAAGGATAAAGAAACAAGGGGAGACCTCCAGGCAGTGTAAAGGCTCTGAAGTCAAGGTCAGCTCAGGCAAGCAGAGATAGCCAAATTGCTGTTGGTGGGGGCCTCCACTGCTTTCCTTTGTTCCGTCCAAACGTGTTCCTGGTCATGGCTTGAGAACCCACTTTTCCAGGATCTATAAGAATCTACAGGGTCATCTGGAGTCTCAGCCTTCAGCTATGGCTCTGAGCCAGAGCAGCATTCATCAAGAAAAGGAGGACATTTAGGGACATGGGGTCCCTTCTCTCCCAATTTAGGACAAGCAGACCTGGGTAAAGCTTAGTGTTACAAATTACTTAGGTCCTCTGGGTTCAAATCTTGGCTCTGCCCCTTGGAAGCTCTAAGTATAACACGTTACTTACCTGCTCTGTGCCTCAGTGTCCTTATCTGTAAACTAGGTCTGAAAAATGTATCTACCTCATAGGATTGTTAGGAGGATTTAATTAGTTCATGTTAGATAAGTGCTTAGATCAGTACCTGGCACATAAACATTCAACAATTATGTTGTTGTTATTATTATTATCACACTGTTGTACCCTGCTGACACTTCAGATGGCAGTGAAGGTGTGTTATATAGTCCCCAGAGGCTGGTCTCCCAAGAATCAAGCTATAGCCTTCTTATATACTTCAGTTCAGAAATCATTTTTTGTACCAGGCACTGTATTAGACACTTTGCTGCATCATTTCCTTTGATCCTTCCAACAAGCTTAAGAAGCAGATATTACTACCCCTCTTTGATAGATGCAGGAACTCAGGTTTAAAGAGGTTAACTGACTTACCTAACACCACGAAGCTAGTATGGTTCCTAGGTCCACCACTGAGATCTGACTCAGTAGGCCTGGATAAGTCCTTGGAATCTGCATTACAAGAACCTGCCCCAACCTGCCCAATTCGGGTGGGGCTGATCTCTTTACTCTACTTTGGAAAACTCTGGCCTCGATGATCTCTAAGGCTCCCTCTGGCTGCAAGTCTGTGAAGATGGGGAAGTCCACACATGCCAAGCACACAGTTTAATGAGGAAGGCAGTTTGCTGCTGTTGATGTTTATTATAACGGAATGAGCTCAGTTCATGGCACTGGTTCCTTGCCATGTTGTTGTCCAACAGGCACACTGGGGCTGAAAAATGTCCCCAGAGTGTTTTGCATTATGTAACCTCAGTTCCCAATTTCTCATCTACAGTTCCAAAATAAGATCAAATAAAAATGCTCTGAAAACCAAAAGTTTTAAGTTTGGGGAAGCTCATTTTGCAGTCGAACATGACTGCAGGGTTTGTTTG